TTATATATGCTAATAAAAAATAACATTTTATGTTACAATATTTAATCTTTAAAATTAGAACACTATATAATACATAATAATATTTATCATTTAATAGTTTAATATTAGAACACCAAATTTTTATTCACATGACCACGTGACTTATCCAGATCACAGCCAATCTTCTGACGTGATACCACTGATCTGCTAATCACGTGATCAAACACGGCTTTAGACAACCCCCACGTATAGGTGAAACTGTTAAGATTCTTTATGATCCAGATAAAGATTCAGAGGTTATGAGAAGAGATCTTAAGATGTTCCAAGAAGGCAAGCATGTTGCTTTTACAATGATATTATATAAAAAAGTTCAAGCTTTAGCAAACCAAGCTTCCGCATTGCAAAAACTGGATAATTCACTTTTTTTAACTCATGTTTATTTTAGCCAAATGGATGGAATGCAATGACAAGAGGATTTTACTAATATTAATGCTACCTAGAGTTCTCTTGACTACATGATTTACACAAATATTGGAGAAGCTGGCATCTTCTTTGAAATTCCTAATCATTTTAACACTATTATAGGAATTAGCAATATTAAAACAGGAGTACATGTCGAAGCTTTTGCAATGATGCTTTATTAAATTCGAGATTATATACAATGCATAATTTCTTTATATAATAGTCAGAAGTCCTTTGAAATATTTCAAGAGCCAAATCGTAGTTTTATTCATGCTGAACTTTCTGCTTTAAGACCTATTGATTTACCAACAGCAGTAAAAGGACATCAGGAATAGGATAAAATTGCTGATTGTTATGCTCTTGATGTATTTATCAGCAAAGTACTTTCCTGAAATTCTTTGCAGTCTTATTTTTAGTACAAGAGCTTCACTTGAAATTATTTCTACAGAAGATACTATAGCTAATAGGAAAATAGTTTCTAACATTATTAAGGCAGTTGAAGAAAATATTAAAGGCTTTAATGTAAAATTAATAGTTAATGCACCTGATATCACCCCGGATGATGCTGAAGTTCTTAAACAAATTTCCACCCGCTTGTTCACTGATAATATGATATTGCAATGATACTATTTATAGAGAATATACGTTTTAGGAGATATTAGAGGTAAGAATGATAATCGGGACTGGGACATGGATGATACCAAATGGATTAATCTATGTAATATCAGTTTTGTAAAAAAATTTAATAATCCTGAATCTTTACAACATTTTAGAAGACTGGCATATTTCTGAAGATAAGGTTCAGAATCAATAAAAGTTTTAAAAGGGTTAAAAACTAAAGAAACTATACAGTGGAAGGAATCGCATAATTCCTCAAATTCATCTTCAATTGATTTATAAAAGGCATATTTGTTTAAACAGTGGAAGGCAATACAAGAGCTTTTTCAAATACTAGGCTTTACTGGTATTGATGATATACGTACTCTTTCAGGTAATATTATTTCAGAAACATTTGCTCAATCGTGTGAAAGATTTATGGAAATCTGAAATCAATCCTTATTGCTCTTTGGATTTAAATCTCATGCAAAAGAAACACCGGATCTTAAATCAGCTATAAAAGCAATTAATGCAATTGTAGGTAATTAGTGCAGATATACTGTTAAAAGTAATAAAAAAGAATAGGGCCTAAAGGACAACAAGTTTGGCAATATTCATATCAAATTAATCACCGGCTATATAATGGTACTGGTTTTGAAGATAAAGGCGCTCCAGAGCTTCCACCATATAGGCTGAAAACAAATAATGATATTCAGAAATTCTTTGATTCTATAAGACAGGAAAAATAATACTTTGGATTATTATTCAGCTAGGTGTCTAGATCATGTCTGATTCCATTTTAACTTTTTACCTTCACGTCAGGTATTTTTATAAATTCTTTTATGTGTACTACTGATTCTAGTATTAGAATATGTTAGCTCATTACAGATAGGACATATTGTTCTAGGAAGGGCATTAAAATGTCTAGAACACTCTAAATTACTCATACATCCTTTTTCACAAATTGAACTATCTTTCTTAATATATTGACAGATAAAATGGCCCATATGAGGTAATTTTAATATTAATATTCTTAAAACTTTATCTTCACTTTTATTATAAATATTCAAAAATATGTCACATATTATCTATGTTCAATACTAACCAAAGCCAGTCCTTCAACCCTCTGCTATATGATATCCTGAAATCTATGATTGAGGAAATTTTTCGAATTGAATTTTTTCTCACATAATATAACTAGATAACAGTTATTTAGAGTTCTGAACAAGTCGAGTTAACTCATGAGTCAGATAAGCCGAGTCGAGTTTAAATCAAGTCGAGTTTATGTTTTTTTGACTCAATGATTTGCGAGTCAAGTCAAATTCAAGTCGAGTTAAATATTTAATTCGATTCGATTTAAACTCGACTTGATTCAAGTTGACTCGAGTTGACTTGAACGATAAAAAAAATTGTTCAAGAAGAACGATAACAAATCGTCTGACTTGAACGATAAAAATTCATTTAAGTCGAACGATAACAAATTGTTTAACTTGAACGATAAAAAAATCATTTAAGAAGAACGATAACAAATCGTTCAACTTGAATGATAAAAAAATCATTTAAGAAGAACGATAACAAATCGTTTAACTTGAACGATAAAAAATTCGTTCAAGAAGAATGATAACAAATCGTTCGACTTGAACGATAAAAAAATTGTTCAAGTTGAATGATAACAAATCATTCAACTTGAACGATAAAAAAATCATTCAAGATGAACGATAACAAATCGTTCAACTTAAACAATAAAAAAATCGTTCAAGAAGAACGATAACAAATCGTTTGACTTGAACGATAAAAAAATCGTTTAAGTCGAATGATAACAAATCGTTCGACTTGAATAATAAAAAAATTGTTCAAGTCAAACGATAACAAATCATTCGATTTGAACGATAAAAAAAATCATTCAAAAAGAATCATAACAAATCGTTCAAGAAGAACAATAACAAATCATTTGACCTGAATGATAAAAAAATTGTTCAAGAAGAACGATAACAAATCGTTTGACTTGAATGATAAAAAAATCGTTTAAGTCGAATGATAACAAATCGTTCGACTTAAACGATAAAAAAATTGTTCAAGAAGAACGATAACAAATTGTTCGACTTGAACGATAACAAATCGTTCGACTTGAATGATAAAAAATTGTTCAAGAAGAATGATAAGATAACAAATTATTCGACTTGAACGATAAAAAAATCGTTTAAGTCAAACGATAACAAATCGTTTGACTTGAATAATAAAAAAATCATTCAAGAAGAACAATAACAAATCGTTCAACTTGAATGATAAAAAAATCGTTCAAGTCAAACGATAACAAATTTTGAATAAATTCAAGTCAAAATCGAATCGAGTTAAAATCGAGTCAAGTCAAATTGAGTCGAGTTTAAAATTTATATAACTTGAATCAAATCAAATCGAAAAATTTTATAAAATAAATTTGATTCAATTCGACTTGAAAAAAACGAGTCGAATAGAGTTGGTCTTTAAACTCGACTTGACTCGACTCATTCGGAACTCTACAGTTAGTATTAATATGGCTACCAAAACGGCTACCTCAAAGACCTGAAAACTTAAAGCTAATAACTTTGTATTGGTCTTAGAGCAGTTCCTAGAAAAGCATAATTTATCAGCTGACTCCACCCCAGAACATTAAGCAAACATGCTCCTGAACTTGATGCTTTACTTTCTGATTGGATGGCCCGCAGGTATGTTAAAGTTGTCCTTGCCAATGGTACTAATAATAGACGTTCATTTAGTAAAGAGAAGATAGATGCTTTCATGCCAAATAAAAAAAAGAAAAACTTCACCATTGAGGGAAGGATGGAATACTGTGCTAAGGCCGGTGATTTTGTAGACATTATCGCTAATCATTTGGTAGTGGGTCTAAAAAATAAAGATAAAAAGAAAATCGTTGCCAGTGTCTCACGCCAGTCAACATTCTATGTGAAGTTAGCAGAAGGTGATGTAGGTCCTGCAATTATTGAAGAATTTACCAAAGACAAGAATCTTATCCAAGATTCTAATAAAATTCAAAAAGAATGAACTAAAAAGTGAATGGCTAATCCAGATAGAATTTCCATATATTTCTCCTTAGCAAATGTGAGTAAAAGGCTTCAAACCATTGATACTTCCAAAATTCCTATTAAAGAGGATCTTATGGATGTAATAGTGATGTTAAGTATGAGACCAGGAGAAGTAAGATCTCTTCAAATTAATCATTATAAACCAAATCCTTCAAACATTCCAACATGATATAAAGAAGGCTATTCTTGATACTGCACAAGCTATCTAAAGAGTAGAAGAGAAAAGAAGAAAAATCCTAAGTCCTGGCTATTTCTTTCCATGGAGAAGAATCCAAAATGCGTCAGGGAATTACTTACCTAGATCTAGAATGCAATCAAGGCAGGAAAGTTATGTGATCCTGTTTATACTGAAAGTAGAACACATAATGCTTGGCCATTTAATGAATTCTTAAAGCAAGAATATTATAAAACTATACCTAAAAAATTAAGAGATTATAGAATTAAACACGCTTCCAGAATCTATGGTAATAAGAACCCAACTCTCTAGCATCTTAAACTGCTTTTGAGAATCGCATTAAGGCAAGAATCTGACCATCTTGATGCAGGTGATAATTATACTATAGGCGATATAGAATCAGAGGACTCCGGATCTGAAAATGAGCACAACTCAGACCCAAAATTAGAGTCTACAGAAAATGATAAAATATCTGATATTATCAATATGTATAGCTAATAGCAACGCATTTTTGGTAAATTTTGCTAGATCTATCATCAATATGCGTAATTTTATTTTTGTTAAAGATACAGCATATATTATTTATGGCGTATAGCATAATACAATCAAGCATTTTTATTATACCAGAACTATTAGAGCGGATTCTATATTCCCTAGCAGTAGATAAGATACTATATCCTACTCTATTTGTATCCCGATTATAGTACAGATGCAGTGCTCTTATTTTATGGAATCACGTTGAGCTAAAGGGGAATGACACTCATCGCTCTTGATTGAAAAAATTTATGAAAATAGTGCATAGAAGATAAAAGCCAGTTTATAGCTCAAATCTAATCCATCTGGAAATTTCACACTACCACCTACTTTCAGATAAAAATTCAATGGCATTGTACGCTTGTTCTCAAATATAATTTATTTAGATTTCAATTATAGCATAGGATTTAGCAACAAAACACTGAAACAAATAGCAGAATCATACCCTAATTTGAAGTATCTTAATTTACAAAAGGACAAATATATATCCTATAATATGAGTATAATAACTGATGAAGGTCTATATGTAATTGCTCTGTCATGTCATAAATTAGAATATCTAAATATTTCTCACCGCACAGATATTCGTAAACTATTAATTTGTAATATTATTTGTTCTTGTCCAAAGCTCAAACAACTAGACCTTAGCTTTTGTAAAATTACTGATATAACGATTAAAGAGATTGCTAGTTCATGTCTTAATTTAAAATATCTTAATCTGAAAGGGTATTATAAAATTAGTAAAGAAGCTGTAGATAAGCTAAATCTAAATATCTACGTAAAGAATTTATAAAAATTTTAACGCCTTCTGATCTTATAAGAATATTTAATAATCAAATTTTAGCTTAAGGTCTTCAGAGCTTTTTAGATCTAAGTATGCGAGATTGTCAGAATTCAGCCTTACATTAGATACACAGACAACCTAATTTTAATATAATTGCAATAGTTTTAAATAACATACTGACTGATAAATCTAGCTAGTCTAGAGCAGTGATCAATAGCTTTGTGCGATATATTGTATTTCACATTTTTTTTCATTTAAAGATACAATGTATAATACAGATTATTTATGACGCAATCAAGCATCTTTTATTTACCAGAACTATTAGAACAGATTTTACATTTTTTAGAGATAGGTAAATCTCTCTACTCCACTCTATTTATTAACTGATTTTGATATAGATGTGCTATTTCTAGTAGAGTCTGAATAATTTAGCTAGTCCAGAACGTGTTAAGAGGTGTTTTGCATGATCATTAATTAGATTTTTTTTGCATTACAAGCAGATCACGTAAAATTTTCTTGGCATTTTTTCTGAGACCACACGGTCTCAGAAATCTGGTGACGCCATAACCTATGTCTATTTTTTCTTATATCTGATATATACTATATTAACTTACTTTTGAATATTCAATTTCTTATATAAAATTTATCAATCATAACATCTGAGCTTGAAGTATTAAAATAGCGTATCATTGAACTTGAAGCTAAGAATGCCGAGCTTGAGGCTGAAAAAGCTGAGCTTCTAAAGCAGATTATGAAGAGGAATACCAGACGTGATGTTAGAGTTGAAGAATAATTGAATAATGATAATCCTTTCGACAATAGTACATCTAACTTTAATTCAGTTGCGGAGTATCATGAGAAATTATTAGTGGATGTGAAAATGGATAATTCCTTTCCTGAAGAAGATTGCTATAATAAATAAGAACTGATGATGACAGTATTTGCCAACTCTGCGAAGCACCTTAACAGCAAACCGTTGAAAGAGAAAGATATGAATAGTTCCTTGCTTGAGGCTCATAAGAAAATCATTAGTGATGAAATAAGGTAGCAAGAGGAGAAACTTCAACGTAAATCGATAGTTGCCAGCCCATCATATAACTCTGAAAAAGATAATCAGATGATTTTAGAAATTTTAAGAGAGTTCGAAAAAACCATTCTCTCAGAAAACGATCAGAGTCTTGTGACTTCAGGTGAACTGGATCTTCTATTTGTGAAGTAAGACGATGATATAATTCAAGAGGAATCGCTTAATAAAAATCAAATCATAGAATAAGACCTAATACATAAATTATATTCATCTATATCACCTGAAGAGGTCTCAGATGGATAAGATAATGTCAAAATCATTAGCTCTTGCGTTAGTTTAGAGAATATGATTTCAGGTTCTGCCCAACACTTATCTTATTTATTTGAAACAGCAGTAAAATCCAGTCAGCAGGAAATATTAGACTGGCACAATTATTCTTTTGAATTTGAGAGCAAGGTAGATGCTCTTACGGCTGATCGTAGAATTAAGGATAAAACGGTAAGATCAATGATTTACAAGGAAATAAAACTATTTCTTCCTACTAAAATCACACAAGCTAACTTGCGTAAAAATTCTCATAGGGCCAGAAAACATCTTATGTTATTCAGGAAAAATGGGGTTGAAATAGATAAAATTAAGCTGGTCTCATATAACGCAACTGAAATTTTGAAACTAACTAACGCACAAATCCAAAATATCATAAATCAAGTAAAAAAATATACTAGCAAACATCAGAGTCATGTGAATTTAAAAACAATTTTCTTGGGAAATGATCAGATTAAAGCTAAGATAAGTATATCAGCAAATATATTATCTTCACCTCAATCTAAGAATCCACTCTATGACCGCTCCTATTTTTGCAACAAAACATTAGACCAATATCCTGCTTTATATAGAGAATTTAGTAGTGAAAATTTCGATTATTATAGCATTACTGATAAGACATCATGCCTATTATGCAGTTTAAATCATGATGATGAGGAAAGTATAAAAGGTATATATAAATTTAGATCTTATTTTATTAAATGTAAACAACGTGAAATTGAGATAACTGTATAGTCTCATTACCCTTTCTTATATCATAAATACTTCAAAAGATGATCTAATTATTTTTTTGAAAATATGATAAGAAATAGTAGACAGCTTTCTATCTAGGAATTTAAATTGATCTGTAATCATATAAAAAGGTAATATAAGCAAGTCCGATAAAGTATTAATCCTGAGTATCTGGATTGACTTACCAAATTAACTGGTTTACTATGCATTTTGATGGATAAGATTTGGTTTAGCTTATACAAAAAATATAAAAAAGAAACTGGGTATGATCCATGACAATTATCAGAAATGCATGTATCAGAAGCCAGCCTTCTCATAAATTCTAAACCAGAAAACAAAGCATTCTATTTATCTTTTCCTGAGCAATGTAAAGAAAATGGGCCTATCACTTTTGAAGCCAAACCCGATCCAGAATTAATTATCAAGTCTGTTTTAGAACATTTCACATACCTGAAATTCCAAAATAGTTTCAGAGGATTGATAATTATAATTTTGCATCACCTCAACCATGGAGCTCACCATGCTTTATTTGTGATGGAAAATATGGGAATTATAGATTACATGATGAATGATACTACGAAAATAGGAATCAACTCCCTTATGATCCTGAATTAGCGAAATTCTATTCTCAAGATAAGTTGAAATATTGTCTTACTTGCAACACTTTAAGCAATAAACTTAAGTTCGCATAGTTTGATTATATGAGAGTCTATCATCCAGTATTTAGATATCCTGCACAGATAAGTATGTGATTTAAGAATATGCAAGTAAGATATTATTGAAATTACATTTATCATCTGACAGATCTGCTTCTATTGTTCTATTAGTTAGAAGTTTGAAGAGTCTTCATGATTATCATATGATATGGTAGGTAACGCATTCAAATGATTATTTCTAGCTTATTAATTTATACATAAAAATTTTTTTGACTTTATTAAATTTTTTCTTATATAATACATTCAAAAAAAGAAAAACTAACAGAATATGTTATCAAGAAAAGCTATTAGGATAAGTCATCTCCTGCAGATCAACAGATCAAGGGATAGGCAGAATTATTTTGAAAAAGGCATATATTTAGGAAATGAAAGCAAAGTTGTAAGGTTGTGAGAAATGCAATTATCACTCATATCTATATTGCAAAAGGTGTAAGAAGGTAACAGAAGGAATATATAAGCGATGTGAATGTTCTTGAGTCCACTTACAATTTGTGGTCAAAAAATTTGTGTAATTCTGATCGTTTCTCAAGGGAACTGTTTTTAAAGATTATATGATGATTTGATGGTATATATTACACCTATGATACAATGTGGTTGATAATATGATAGATTCGTATAATATAATATAGTTCTGATAGATAATGTTAGATCTTGAGAAAGAGTTAGGGAGAAATTTACTATTGTAAAAAAAATTTATTAACTTCGAAATTACAGAATTCTGGAAGATATATTAATGGACTATCTTGTAAAACTAAATAAATCAGTTTGGAATAGTATCATTATATAGCGGGCTAAGGCCTGTATTTTATATAATTTTTCTCAATGATCAATAAAGCAAAGACACAATTAGCGCAATGAATTTACCAGACATTATATTTTTTTCATATGGTGTCGGTTGAGAGATTAAGGGAATTTTATATGCTAAAATTTCTTGAACAAGTTTCTTGATAAATGCGCAGTAACGTTAAAAATAACATGTATCACAGAAATAAGTAATTGTATGTATTTTCTCAAACTTTTCCGCATATACTCAAAACTTTATATATAACACAAAAGACCTACTTGTTAATCTTTGTATATGGGTAGCATCAAAGTTTTTATTATAATTTTAAGCAGATCTATTGACCAGATTTTCGTGATGCAATCATATTAATGTAATTTTCTCTAAAAGTTTATAACAAAATTGATCCTGCAAATTATATAAAAAGGTGATATCCTGGTTAGTGAATCCTTTTATCCGTCTTGCGCAAAAAAGCAAAATCAAACAAAAATTTAACTGTTCAGATCTTACTATTATTTACAGTACATCGTCAATATCATTTATCAAATGAACTCGTATATTCTGCAAAGTAATAATAAGGAGTTAATAAGGTAAGTTGGTTTATTGTTCAGCTAAATTCTTGAAATATAACATCATGACATTAATCAAATTTCCCTCCTCTATAGATGTTTCAAAATAAAATGGGTATACTTGTTATATATCAGCATTTTGATCTTCGCTAAGAAAATCACTGACCATCATCATGTGTACAATAGACACAGTAAAATTACTCACATAAATCTCATTATATGCAATAGCACAGCAAAGTCTGACGCAGTATATCAAACAATTTAAGCACTGAATTCTTGAAACTTTGCGCAGTATTGTGACCAGTGATAAAGCAGAAAAATAAGTAATAAATTCCTTGTGTATAAGGCGATTGTAAAAATGAAATATATAGGTAAGTGTGAATAAGATCATAGGAAATATTATTTTTTTTATCTCAGTTGCTAATCTCTCGAAATTACTTGATCCTAAAGTGACCCTCTTACAGAAAATAATCTATTACATAGTCTGTATGTGGGAGTGATATAGATAGACGAAAATTCTGTAGATATATGCGGGAAAATTTATTTCAGAAATCTAGTATAATAAAAGTGTGTGATGGTGAAGAATCTCGTAGTTAGCAATAGTGATAGAAATAAATTAGGTATAGAAGTTTATAAAAAGCCTGAGAGAACAAAGAAATAAATTAATGCTAGGACTTGTATTAAATGGCCTAGAATCTGCGTACTCCCTCCTGATTAGTTATATATCTGAAAAATAAATAAAATTTCATCTTAAATGCAAAAGTGATTGATGTTACAAATTATACGCGCATGTGATGAAATGAATAAAGCTGTAGCTTAGAAATACTGACATTTTCTCTACACGAATATCTTTCTCTTTCTTCTATTGTTCTTTTCTACTTGTATCGATAAAAAAAGTATATAGAATAAGTCTTTCGTCTGATCTATCGCAACTTTACTAATTCTTCATTTTCAGTAGAACATTTCTTCAAAAGACCACTTTTTCAATTCCTCACTCAGCCCAATGTCATATCTACGATTAATTCTATAACTGCTGATAATATATTTGACTACTATCAGCAAAAAATGTCAAATAGCAAACTTTCGCAAGTATATCAAGTGATAGCCCAAGATTTGGAGGAAGTACTTGAATCAAATTTCTTTAAAGAAGATATAACATGTGTTCTGAAGGACATTAAAGACACTTGGGTTGTAAGTAAACTATTTTATATATTATACATTGGAGAATAGAGCCTTTTGTTTAGAAGAGGGCTTAAGTATCTGAAAGGAAGTAGGAACTGTGTGTTGCTTACTTCTGGCGTATGAGGATTACAGTCGCTCATATGACTCTGATCGGTGGTAAACTTGGGGACTGCAGTCGCTCAAGTTTAGAAGTCTGGGGACTGCGGTTGCTTGAATCTAAACCACTCCTCCCCAATCGTTTTAAGCTAATTTGTGTGAATCTTATAACTAATGCTATCTTTTCATTTTGAGACGTGAAAAAACCAACGCATTTGATTCTATAAAAATGAAGAAGCAATCATCAAATAAAAGACCGGTTACGAAGTTCAGTTTATGAGTGTATATTTGTTAGATTCTTATTTTCTTACTATAGAAAATGAGCTCATTACAATCTCTGTTTTCTCTTTATAAGCAAGAGTGCATCATAAAATATCAAAGAAGTATTGCTAAAGTTACTGATGTGGAAATTGATAAGTAGGTTGAAGAATTGGTAAACATTGGTAAAGAAAAGGTAGGTCTTATCATGATCAGTTATAAGCTAAAGAATTTTTTTTAATTGTGAATATGTTGTAGGGAGAACCCTCAGTTTGTAGATCACCTTGACTAATAAAACGTATTGATTATTCTGGAATGGATGATTCAAACGAAGAGAAGAAATCTGAGAAAATAAGGAGACTGAATAGTACCGCTCATTCGCAATCAACAGAATCTTCACAACCTGTACCCAAACCCTACTACAAGCTTCGCGCGATTTAACTCCATTAGAAATAACACCTAATAAGCGACTGATAAATAATAAAGAAATTCTTCAGTAAGTCTTTCTCACTGTATATACTTAATTAATGAGAGGCAATCTAATAGTATCTTACAAATTCCTCCAGATACTCTGAAGATATATCTGTAATATGCGTGTTTGATAAGTCAGTTGCTAAGTTGACTTTAGAAATTGGCTCAGAATTTACAAATAAACTTTCTTCTCTACGTGATACTAACCCTGAAATATAGACACTTGAATTAGAAAAATACATTGACAATGTCCTAAAAAAATCTGAAAAACAATTTAAAAATGCTACATTAGTTGGTATTCTGGACGATCTTTTCTGATTGTACTGTGAAAAAGTCCTTCTTGATTTGTAAGTAAATGTTAAGGCTTATCAGTTAATCAAGAGAAAATATTGACAACTACATTTTAGCTATAATCTAGTTGATATTAACCCTATGATAAACAAAAAGATAGGTGAACGTAAATACATAACTTACCAAATCTCATCAATTTATAAATTTTATGAGAAAACATTCTTTAACCTCAATTTTGACTAGATTGAGTCTCACGTTCACTCTGCAAGAATTACAAAATCTGAGACAAATTCAGGAATTATTAAAGTAGATTTCATAGAGACCAGACATTATGATAGATTAAGTATATAGCATAGGGAGGTAGCTAGCAGACTATGTAATGCAACAGACACACACTTTTTAGATGATACAAAAAAAACACTCTGCATGGATGTGTTAAATTTGATTGCAATATTGAGAAACCATTTTGATTGCAGTGTGGAATTCGTTACAAAAATAAAAGTTTTTTGTATCCAGGTTATTGGTAAGTGATATGTCTGTATGGCTAGTGAGGTTGAATTTTCTGTTATTTATGTTTTACTTTTTTAGGTATTTGAATAACTCTGTATGCACTTAGTATGCTTCCAGATGAAGGGTTTATCTCTTCAGAACTTGCTACCGCAACAGTCCCTTTTAGCTTCCATGGCCAAAATCAGTTTAAAGCTATTTTCAGGATGATGGCCATTTTTCATGTATGTGTATCTTATGATCTGCATTTATATTTTATTTCCCAAAATACTTATTCAGTGATGGTATTTTTTTCCAGAATGAAATAACGAAATAAGAACTTATGGATGAGATTGATAGAGTTGTATTTCGATCCAAAGGAACAACAGTTTGGCATATATTGAAAATTCCTGAGGAATTATTCGAGTGAATTTATTTTATGTATTTAAGTTAGAATATAAAATAGATTTACCGTAAATATTAGCTGTTTAATAATATCCACAATAACATTAACTAATTACTTTTCGCTATCATTATATATTTTGCTACATATTTAATTTTAGTATTAATGCACAAATAGATGCTGTTTTACGTTATGCTCAATGAGTTTACTTTTCGTATAGTATCAATGATTAGAAAACTGATTATGAGTTAGTATTATTAGGGTGATAACCGGGATATTTTAGTATAGAAAATCTTCTGCAGGATTTAATTTACATATCATAGCACATACGTTGTATCAAGAATGATTTTATGATAACGTATTATGCATTGGAAAAATAAAAAGTTGTTTTCGTATATATAATAACATTTTTGCTTTAAAACCGTTCCCTCAGGAAATGATCAAAATTTCTGATTATTAAATTTTGTCACATTTTATCAAAAGATGGTGAACTGCGTCATTTCTTCTGCGCAATTAAGTCGAGCCTAGATACTGTATCCAGACTCTACCATTAGATAGTCATATATATAATAACTTACGAAGTGCCTTAACAGCTGGCTATTTTGGGAGATAAATTTAACCAGATGCTGATCCTGCTTCTGCATATTTTGATGAGCTCAGATATCATATTCAGACTCTACTATCAGACATTTTTGCATGTGCATTTTATTCGTAATCATTTTTCTGAATTCCTGTTATACCTATTTAGCTAAAAAAAATCTAAAATCTGATTGGCTGATCATCTTATGATTTAGCTGAAGGCGCTGTGCATAGAAACTCACCAGCTTCTAGAACCTTCCTAAAACTATCGAGGAACTGGCAGGGAACTAGGGAGATCACATGTGATATAAATTATAACTGTGCATAGTTTAACTGATTGGACTGAATCAAAAAAATAAAATAAATGTAATATTTTATTATAATATACTTGCTATAAATTGCTAAAATGCTATAAATCACTAAACAGCTATAAATCACTAAGATCAGTAAAAAACTATAAAAATGGTTAAAACTAACTATTCTGGTTTAAATCCTGTAGTAGTATAAGCGATAACTAATCTGCATTACAGATATAGTAATGAAATGCTAAAAATGTGGTATTCCCATATTCGTGTTTTACTGAGGAAACTTATCGAATATAATCCAACATTCTTCTCAAAGAATGAATATATTTATATGACTGAAAGATTATATGGGTTGATTGCTAGGAAAATCAGGTTCCGGGAATTTTTTAGCAAAATTGAGATTTTTATTGCATTTTAGTTTTTGATGTTATTAGATTAAAATGTATTAAGCTCTTAATTTTAGTCAAAAATTTCTCAGAACCTGATTTTCCTAGAAACACTCCCATATGAAGATGGGAAATTCAGACCTGAAAGGCCTACATTTTATATTTATTGCACTGCATGTGATTCCTTAGTATTTATCTGTGAAAATGCTAAGAAATACGCAGAAAAACATCTAAATGAATGTATTGCTAAAATAGAGGAAAAGCGTGTTGCATATTATAGATCTATATTATAGAAACGAAAAATTAATAGAGTACTTAGTTTTAAAAAAGAGATTAATAAGCTTTATAATAATAATTTGTATTATTTAAACAGTACCTTCAGAAAAAACTTTAGCGGTTATGATGATACAGAAAAAGAAGAAATCATAAAAGAGATTGTAATTTGCATAACTAACAGTGCAATTGCTATCCAACAGGCTTGGTGAAATTATAAGTTGGGACCTGAGATGAAGGTATAGCGAGTCTGGAATATAGTGAAAAATAATAATACTCCTGACAGAAAGAAATATTTAGGTATGATTAGGAAAAATTAAAAGGTAATAAATCTTGAGACGCAAGAAGAGTATGCCGTAGCTTGCAATGAGTTTTATGCTTTATTTAGAAAAAGTTATTCAAAATATATTAGAATAATTAATCCAGCCAAATGTACTCCATCATATAAGGAATATGTTTATTGTTTTCCTGATGAATGGATAGAAGCTAAGAAATACCAGTTAAGACAACAGTTAGATAAGGTAGTATATGGACCTATTTCCAATTTCTCAGGAAGGTTTACGTTTGAATTGATAAGTACTATTACCTATTATGAAAAGTACTATTGATAATATCTTTTACTATTCCGTAACTAAATTTAGGAATATTTCAGGCTAGTCTTAAAAGAATCGCTTCTGTGTAAAAAATGCAAGAAAATAAACTTAGCCGTTAAGGCACTTTACAATATTTTTCAATTGAATATTAATATTATTTATCTTAACTATATTTAGCCAAAGACACTATATATAAATACATAACTTATTCATGATATATTTTTTTGTGAAATGAATAATTACATAATCTGCATGTATAATCGATCACCTAGTAAATGTATCATCTGTAGGATTAAGACACTATGCATGATTTGCCTATTTTGGATTAGATCCTCTAATCTATAACTATTTTAATAAAGTATTTTTTGAGAAGTTCAGGAAGATCAATGAAGCGATCTTGAGGATTCTTGATTCCTAAATACTACTATCATTATAGCTTTGAAAATTTCTATGCAACAGTTATTCAGCGAGCTTACAGGAATTACAAGAAGAGGCCTGAGTCATTGGCAAAATGGGTTTGAGAGGTAGTGAAAAATGATAGTATTCCTAATGAGAAAAGTTTTTAAGTATAAAAAATGAATCGGAACAATCAGGATATATTTGTTATGGGTATGAGGGATGTTGTTATCCAGTAAGAAATGATTAAATATATGAGAAGAGAGCCAAATTATAGTAACGATTATCTTTTGCAACATTTATATTTATTAAGAAATTATTATATCAGTAAAGCTATATAGTTATTAAAGATGCATACTGGCTTGACATGTTAAAATGGCTATAGAATCCCGAATATTATAGTATTCATAAAAAGTATAATTTTGTATACTTCATCAGAATTTTAGAATACAAGGCATATAAGATTAAATCATCAGAAATGAAACCTATATGCGATTTACTGTTAAAATACATATATCATATTTACGAGAAGGATATTACTATAAATTTTATAAACTTAGATAATAATTGTGAGTTTATGCGCTGAATTTTCCAGATCAGACCTTGACCCAGATCCTGAATATTATCTTAATAAAATAATATACTGTCCAACTATAATGTATGTAGGAGAACAGTGTGTGACATAAATTAGCACGTTTTCTGATCCTCATTAAAGTGTATATGATATAATAGTAATACACCACAAATCATCTATAATTCTGTGTGACTGCTTGTGTGACTAATTAATTTTTACACAAAAGAAATCAATCCCTAAAAATATTTCAAATTTTTTCCCTTACAACATTTGGCTAAATAGTATTTACTGATATGTATTTTTGCTTTAGAGGGATAGGCTCTTTGAAACTACCAATTCTGAACAGAATATATTTATATAACACTGAGTCTTAGTATTAACTATTAAGCAGTCAGGAAAAAAGTCTGTATATGTATTGTTTTCAACACCATTCTAAAAGTTGAAATCTTCAATGCACATTCCACATGCCCTTATTCTCGAATACAAACTTTTAGCATAAACTATCTTGCATATTCTTCTTTTTCTTCTTTCAACATGAATGTAAGATGGAGAGGGCATGAATGGAGATTAAAACGGCTAGACAGTATATTGGAGTTGAGTATTTTTATGTCTCGTAAATTCTTTATTTTAGCCATACCTACCGATTTATATACTAAAATTTACAATTTCTTGTTAAATGCTGAGGAAGAGGATATTACTGCTGGGTCTGTTATCTATCAAGAAATTGAAGACAATTTCTGAATATCTCAAAACGAGCTGAAAAGTATTATTGAGCAGACTGTTACATTTGTGAAGAATCAATATGATCGAGATTCCTCACGCCATACTACTCTTCTCGAAATTTTACCAAAGGTAAGATATTTCTAAAGAAAATAAAAAGAGAATTTATTTGAGTGATAAATAATGTAGACTAATACTGTTCTGAGGAAGAGA